GAATTGAAGGAATGGAATTCTTGAAAAAGCAACATATAAAACATTTTGAAATCAGCATATTATTAGCATCTATGAATTTATACTTATTCAAAAGCCCTCACATTAATTTCCTATGCAAACAAGACATTTCCTAGACTTGTAAACTAAATAAGCTTTAAAAACTGGAAACAATTGGGGGTTAGGGGTTAAGAGCAGTATTTAGTCCCGGCAGACTCTTCCTCCCCTTCCCAAACCCAGAATTCAGCTCTCATATCATGTACAAACTGAAATTACAGCTCAGAGCGGAAAATTAGGACCTGACCTTGCAAAACAAACAGCCTCCCTTTGAAACATGGCTCGAAGACATGCAATAAACCCCAGCAGTGCTGTCTATAGTGAGGCCTGCAGAACTGCATTGATATTGCTCAATTAGCTGTGAGAAAAAATGCTAGCAAAAATGGAAAATAACCTAGAACAAACAGATTAGTTCTGGAGATACCAGTCATAATATTTTCTTCCTTCCTGTATTCTCCCAGCCTTACTGCTCTCCTCCCCACCAAGTATTTGTACTAAAAGCAGATTTTCTATCTTCTCTCTTCCCAACTAGCAACCTACGAGGGAAAAAAAAAAAGAAAATAAAAAAGAAAAAAAGATTTACAATCTCTTCACATTCATTAAAAAAATTTTCCAGGCACAATAAACCCTGTGGGCATGGAAAAATATAACAGAATGTCTTCGTCAGGCTTGAGGTTGCTGGAGAATAATCAGTAAAACATGTTCAGAAATCAGAGGAAAAGCATGAAAACATTTCAGAGGGAAAAAATCCCACCAAATGATGCAAAAGGATTGTATTCGGATGGGGGAAGGAAGACTGGGGAAACAGGGCACAGGACTTTTCATGAGTAGAAAGAGTTACTTAATTTGCAGAAAAATCTATTGCAAGCAGCTTTTCCATCTAATCAATTAGGTGCATGTACTACATGGAGTGAGCAGCTGTGCCTTGCAAAGAACCCCACTGATGTATCTTTTGATTCTGGGAGATCACACACGTTAGCGTATACAGAAGGAAAACTCTGCACCCTGCAACTTTAAAGGTTTCCAAAATAATCACCTGAGCAGCAGAGTTCTTTGTGGTACACTGTACTTCTAACCACACCAGGAACACACATAAAATAGACCAATAAGGATGTGAAGTTGGCCTGGCCAGATACAATGCACAGCTCCTAGAGCAGAGCTGTGTTGTTGAAAAACATCTGAGTTCACATCCTCCCCCAGTTCACCTCGTTTGAAATTTGTGACCATTTCTATGGATAATCTTTCATCTTTATGAACCACAAAGATCAACAAGTTTCAAGTAAACTCAGCTGGTGAAATGTTGTCTGTGTTGGATTTCAACTGTTAGTTGTGAATTCCTGAAGAATTACTCATAGTCACCTTCATGATGCCCTCCTTGGCCCTCTGCCTGCCTCAAGTGCTAACACCCAGCAGGGAGCCAGTGAGCAGCACCGACCCTTTGAGAAACCAGAGAGAAGGACTACCATAGCCCCTGTGTGGTGTCTTGGGAATTTCCTATGCCCAAAGGATGGAATGGTACTAAAATACACTACAAATTACTGATGGAAAGTTGGTGCTTTGCCAAAGAAATCTTTCATGAAAACTGACAGGTTAAAGACATTCCATGAGCTGACAGCAGCAGCAAAATAACAAAAGTCCTGAAGACAGCGAATTGTTTTTTCATATTTCTTTTTAGCAAATACACAAAGAACAAAATGTGTTTTCATTAAGCTCGTGAAATGGCATGAGGCTTTCCAATTACTCCAGACACTGTAGAAGTTCAATAAGTACTGTGAGTTATCAACTAGAAGAATTGCCATCACCAGCAGACCAAGGATCTTTCTTGTCTTGAGGACAGAACCTATGTAAGGGAGGAATAATGGTCTAAATATCTAGTAACAGCTATTTGCAACTAAACAACAAAGGTATTGAAATAGATAGATAAACACAATCTTACCTGAGCAACAAAGCACTGAGATACAGCTCAGAAGAGCTTATGTCAACACTCATTGGGCAAAACTCTTTTCAGGATAATGACAATGAACAGGTTCAAAGTGCTAAAAATAGCTCCAGGTTTTTTTCCTAGTGTGAAGAATTGGAACCAGAATCAACTTCTTCCTCTTGATGGGAAATACACTGTTTTCAGGTAAAATTAGGGTAACTGCAGGTTCCTCCCCACTTTGCACATTGGATTGACACTCCTGCCCGCCCAAAAAGGATAAAAAGCACCCCAGTCACGTCAAAAACCAGTCACCAGCATGATTATACCCTCAAGTCTAATGTAGTTAGTACACTGTGATATGGGCAAAACCAAAGCATTCTTCCCATTAATTGCTGCATTATTAGAACATTATAGTATCTACAGTTACACATTATGAAGAATATCACAGACAAATTCAGTGTCAAAGTCCTCACTATGAAAAATTAAGTCACAGATGAGGAAATGAGTACTCTCCAACCCACATGGTCACGGGTTTTCCGGGAAGCACTTTGAGTCAATTCCCGAGTAGAGAAAGGCGTTTTGAAGAATGTAAATCTACTTAAGAGAAATAAATAAGGATGTTAGCTTTGTTTCTTTTGTCCAGGTGAAAGGCAATCCAAAAGGCCTTAAAGTGGCAAAGCTCAGGAAACAGCTGATCCCACCATCTGCACTGGTGAATAACCAATTTACCTTTGTCACCTAGAAGAAAAACGCAGCCTTTTAGTCACAAACACAAATCTTAGGAAGGTTGGAGAAATGAAGAAAAACATTCCAATCTGAAGATAATGATCCATCCAAATAGGACCAAACAGAAAACGGCCCGTCCTCACTGCTATATTAATTCAAGTATTGCCTCAGCCTATGCTCACAGACAAATCCTCTGCTTAAAACAAACGGTACTTTTAACTCTGAGCGAGCTGCCCCAGCAGCACAACTCAAACACGGGGGATTCTTGCCCTGCCAGTGTAGCAAGGCCTTAGCTAAGGCATATCACTAACCTGGTCACCACTGCACAGCTGTAAGAACATTAAAAAAGGAGGAAAATAAACAACCCACAAAAAAAGGGCCACACTGAGTCAGACTACAGACCCAGTTCTCCTGCCTCTTAGTAGTGGCCAAGATAAGAATGTTACAACAGGGCAGGCACGGAGGGAGCAGTGCTTCTCCAGAACACTCCCTTAGCTGCCAGCAACAGCAGCCTGGGGATTTCCTGAGCCAAAGGTGGTGGTTTTGCACTTAATAATCCTCTGTGAATTTTTTCATCAGTGCAACAAAGCAAACTGAATAATCCTTAAGTGGAAAGATAACTTAAGGAACTCAAAAAGCCACAAGAAGAAATAAAGGTAAAGGACTGGCAGGCAGAGTTAGAAACTCAACTGTCCCTGGCAGGAAGAAAAAAAGAAAACCTTTGCACAAAACTTTTGTCAAAGTTTTATACCATCCACTACCCTTCGAAAATCAAGAGTTTCTCAACAATTTTTCTTTTTCAGTTCATACAATTGAAAGATAAGAATCTTACAGGCAGAGCTATTACTCAAAAGTTCAAACATATCAACTAAGAACGTAGATTCTCCTACACTGGGAAGAGCCCAAATGATGGGGTTTTTTTCATTAAAATATTTCAAAAGGATAATTATTCTTTTGCAAACTCAAATATTTAGGGTGATCCTAACCTAGCTGGCGAGCCATTATGCTTTGGTTGGACTTCAGCACAGTACCATTCTGACAATATGTAAAAGGAAATGAAAGCTTTCTCATGTTTTCCAGGCCTACAGAGTCTAACAGAACTCTGTGATTTAAGAGAACAGCAGTGATTTGACACAGCCGTGCTAGACTGAAGCCATAAACGTGTAACAGGGCACAGCTCTTTTCCAATTTCAGAAGCTTCCTTGATTTCTTCTCAACATTACGCTTTTCAAGAAGCAGACCAAGAATAAGTGTTTTCAAGTATTTTTATTTACTTTTTTTTCTCTAGACACTCCCTAACAGCAGAGAGGATGAGATCAGTAAACGCAAACCTAGTCCTGACTATCGATGCTAGAAATGTGGGTGCCATGAAGCTCCTACTAAGCTGCTGTGTTTGTGTGAAGCTCTGTTGTGTCACTGTCCTATCACATACCAACAAACCTTAAGATGTGCTCTGGCTCTCCAGCTCTAGGAAGGGGAAAGCAGCTGTCCTTTCACTGCTTGCTAAAATTTCTGGACTGAAGAGATTGTGTTAATAGTGTAGCAAGGTAGAGGTAAAAAAATAAAAAGAAAAAAGGTTGTACCATCATCAGGGAACAATTTTATTATCTCATTCTACTACCCGCTGCTGATTTCCAAATCTACAATAATTTGTACTGACAGGATTCCTGCCAATTCAAGACAGTATTAGTTAAAACTCATTTCCCTCTGGTTCTTCATGAAAAAGATACCAGCAACAATAAGAACACCACTGCTAGCTACATTCCTAACTGCAGAATGACTTCAGTAAGTAAATTAACATTTTAAAAATTATAATTCAAAGAACCAGACTTTTTCAATATATAACTCCCAAATACTGGGTGGCTTGACACCTGCAACAGTTGACAATTTTTACTCATTATCACATCATAGTGGATTTCAAGATCCTAACGTTAACTAATTCTTAATAACTCCAGAAAAAAAGTAAATTATTTTCATACTGGCCAAAAATTATCATTTACAGCATTGCTATCACTATTTGATTTAAGCATTATCTGAGTATTGAATTATTAGCAGTACTAATGTAATGCGAACCGATAGGGTGCAGTACAAAACTAGCTCTCCACAATACAGTAAACAACTGCTCCTTAAATGCGTTAATTACAAGTTCTTACTTTCCCTCCCTGTCAAACCTAGCTGACACCATCAGTCCTGCCGATTTCAGTAGGACTGTCACACAAGAAGGAATGTGCAGATCTAGACCCTGCCATCCTGATTTATGAGAAAGAAGCACGAGTCTAAGCAGGAATTTAACACTTACGCTTCCACAGTTGTTCTTACAGTCTGTTCCTCACCATCTTCATCTGAACTGCTACATGTTGCATCAGAGTCCAGGTCCTTCTCCACGCGAGACAGCAGCCCTCCAGTAGACAGTGCAAACCCCCGGATTTCACCTGGTGCAACGGTAACTCCGTTCTGTACGTCCACACTCAAACTACTCTCCAAAGTAGTTGCATTGTTTTCTGGCCAACCTTCAGTGCACCTGAGGGAGTTACTGCTCAAAAATCTGGTTGGCTCATGGAAAAACTTCATTCTCTGAAGCTGATGTTTCACGAAGCATTTCAGCTGCTGATCACAGTGCTTGATAACATGCTTTGCCAGGAGCATTTGTAAACGCTTCTGAGTTCTTTTGGCGCGACTGATTTCCATTTGTTGCTTAGTGACACACTGGAGTAAGCGAGCATACACCTCCTCCTGGGTGCAGCTCAAAATCCCTTCTGAAGGCCCGTGAAGAATTTGGTATAATAAATCCCCTTTTATTGTTTCAGCGCAGACTTCCAAAGCCCTACCCAAAAACCCATTCTTCTTGTACCATTTACCATTTAAAAGTTGCATTTCTTCTGCATTACTGGATTCAGTTACATTTGAATCTGAGAGTCTCTCTGTTCCTGCTAAGTTCGGAGATGCGGCCTCTGAAAACATTGCCCCTTTGACCTGTTGCTCAGGTTCTGAGTGACTAATCTGACCAAAGGATGTGTCACCACCATTATGTAATGACTTTCTCATCTTGGAGCAGCCAGGCTCTCCTGCTTTCATTTGCTTACCAGTTTTGTTGCTAAACGCAGAATTTGTACTCATTAACAAGATAGACTGATAGCGCTTGGAGGCTGGTGGGGAACCAAAATGCTGTACACTGAAGATATCATTCCTGAGGTTGGGCTCAGCAGTGGGGAACCCCAGGACTGAGCAAGTAATCTGTGTGATGGAGTCCTCTTTTATCTTCTCTTCCACTGCTCTGGAATTTTCCATGCACAAAGCTGTATCAGACTCCATAGCTCTAGAGGACAAAGAAGGTGACAAGTGGATACCATGATCTTTTGTTGCTGCCTCTCTGAGGGCTGGTGTCATTATATCTACAGTAGGTAGTTTACAGCAAACCTGAAAATAACATGGGCCATGTAAATTTTCTCATTTTCATGACACAGTACAAATACAACTACAGTCTTAGACATTCCATTCTTTCAACATTTCATCATTATTCAAAGATTCCATAAAAAGGATGTTATCTAAAGAACACAGACTACACTCCCTCCCAAGTCAAACAAGAACACTCTCTTTTTATTTCATTCAGAGTTTTTCCACGTGCAATGAAAGCCTTTACCTCTCAGGGGAGTAACTGTTCATACCTCATTTCATTTCTGATCCTATCAGTCTGAGAAATAAGACTCAAAAGTTCAGGACTGTCATCTCACCTTGCCCAAACTGAAAAACACGACCATGAACAACATGACTGGCACTACCGGGAGAAACATATTTACTGTAAATCTATATAAAGCAAGCATTTGATTAATTATTATATATTCTCACAAATACACACTAGAAACCAATCATCAAGGTTAATGCTTTCAAAACAAAGAACTCTAAGCTCTAAATGTTTTCTAAAAAAAATAAAAAAAATCTTTCCCATGCCTTTGTATCCAGTTTTTTATTCATCAGGCACTGTCTGTGCAATTCAAACAAAATATTTTTCATAACAATTTGAGAAAAGACATTTTTCTTTACAAGTCCTTTTGCCTGTGGTTTGCCATTAAATGAAGGATTCCCAGACTTTGAGATCAAAAGACCAGCTTCAACCTTCACCCCTTCTTGCCAGCAGCTGTGCTGCCAAGTCATACTGCATCTGTTCCACAGCCTACACAGCAGGAATCACTGCTTTACACTGTACTTACAGCTTTGTTTAGGAGATGGTTAAAGAAGCCCAGTGAATGATTTAACTGAACATGGCCTGCAGAAGACTGAAAGATAAGTTACGGTCAGGTCTTTGTTAAGAAGCTAGAGACAAAACCAAAAACAGCAAGAGAGCAGTAGCAAATGTGAGTGTAGCACAGTAATGCCACAGTAAATTCTCTGTTGAACCACTGTACTGTTTGTGCACCACTTCCACTGCACCACTTTTAATGTCTCCAGTTTCTCTGATCTCCACAGCAACTGCCTAGCTCAGCAATTTTTAATGCACAGATCTCATAAGGGGTCAACAATTCCAAGACTTAAGGTCCACATACGGACCTTAAGAAAAGCAAACTCCTTGTCTGAAGCCTTATCTTGTTTATAACTACAGGCTTTTTACACTGAAGATGTGAAAATTAAAGGGAGATATGGAAACCTAAGGATCTGAGAAGTACCAGTCTGGAAACTTGCTCCTTAACTCTCAAAACATGAAGAAAAACAGAGAGCCACATGCTCCAGCACTGCCTTACCTCTCTTGGTATGCTGTGTTCACCTTTCATTCCTCCACACGTACTTCAACCATGAGGTTCTCATTCTCCGTACATCACCTATCCAGCATCACCGGGACCAAGTTTGGTGGTCACACTGCTAATCCTAAATGATACTACTATAATCTCCAGGATTTTAACCTTTATCAATAAGCCAATAATTTCAGCCTACCAAGGAATCAGAACAAAGCCCTCCCAGTGGATAGCTGTTCAGGAAGAGCCCCGTTCTAGGATCAGGAAGTGCACTGATGAGTGCTGGAACCCTGAATCCTAAAGGCTCTGACGACTCGGTAATGCTCTCAGCATCTGGTTAACTCATGGCTTTGTGTCTTTCCATTCTTGTAAAAGCCAGCAGGCCCAAGAATTTTTAAATCCAGAGGAGTATGGATTCAGACACTTATGCCTGCCTGCCCTCAGCATACGGCAAATAACTGTAGTATGTCAGAGCAATTTAACACAGCTAAAACATAAGGGGGAATGAAGTGAAGCCCACAGTTCCTCTGTGGGGTTACTCTGAGCTCAGGAGTCCCCGTGTTTGATTTGTCCCTCGGAATGTCAAGAACCTCTCCCAGAAGAACATCAGCCTGGTATCTACATACACTGAGCAACCAGTTTATAACTGTTCAGGTTTACTGTCCACATCCCTTAGTCTGAGTGGTTTAACAGGCAAAGGTTGCTACTCCTGAAAACCAGAAAACATTTACATTGAGCAGAGCTGCTGCTCAAGCAAACAAGAAGTTTGGAGATGTGGAAGACATACCTGTATGAAGATGGAGAGGCTATTCAAAAAACTGGCAGCACAAAAATTACACAGTACTGTGTTTTAACTTGATCGTATTCCCTCAAATATCACATACCCTTCTGGTACAGTTTCAAACTTCCAAAACTGCAATGCATACCATTAGAAATTTTTTTTTCTTTGTTTTTTGTTTAGTCTGGGGGACTTCTTTCCCATTCTTTTAGGGGAAAGAGAGGAATAAATCAAAGTACCATCAAGTGGAACCACAAATAGTAAACTAAAGAGCTCTGACAAAACACTAACTAATTAGGAGTGCCTGACAGAAGACGCTTAAATTACAATATAGCTAAAAAATAAATAAAATGCTTTTGAATAGGGAAATCGCTGAATTAACCCCTTGCCCAGCAACCTGCAATCCTCACAAAATGTTTCTGCCCTGAGGACAGTCATGGGAGACATTCAGGTGTGTTCACCTCATTTCAGACTATAGACTAAGACTACATAAAACTGTTACTGTTCCTGTCTCCCGTTCTTGGTATTTCTCCAAGAAGTTCATACACACACACAAAAAGTCATTGACACATGAGCAAAACAAAGAATCAGCTGCAAAAAAATTATAAACAAATTTTAGTACAAGTACTTGGCTCGACAAGAATTGTACAATTTTCATTTTGACAGATTTTATTTCATTTTGGCAGAAAGCCACAAAAATAATTTCACTCCACCCTTATTGGAAGTGAGTTTCCAGAGCCAAACCTACTGTCTTTGGGGGGAAAAAAATAGAAATAAAAGCACAAAGGGAGGGAAGACAAGTACTGCAAAATGGTATTCTGGAAGAGACTGTATTTGCATTCTGCAAAAAGCTTTTTTGTCATAGGTAAACCATTTCAGGAACTTTTTCCATTGTGCACTAGTTGAGGTTTCAAAACCAGAACAGCTGAAATGCTACTAAACTGGCAAACAGTTTGCCTTTCATCTGCTGAATACACACTCCACTTAAAAGACTAAAAAGTATTGCAGAAAGAAAAGCTGACATTAAACAAGTACTGGGGAAGGGAAGAAACAAGTACCAGACATGCACAGTACAGGAACTGATGTTTAAAGTGACTTTATGCTTATCCTCCCTTAATGCCTTAATTACCCAGGAGGATATAGCTGGGAACTGCAGTTTATCACAGCCCGACCCTGCACCCCGTCCCTTCTCTCACCACACCTACAGGTCCCTAAGCCCTCAGTGACTCCTACTCCTCTCTCTCCCCTCTCCCCCTGCTACCTTTGCTGATTTCTTAGTCCTCATTTCTGCCTTATACCCTTCCCTACCAGGTTTACCTCACCAGAATTTGCCTAAATCCTGAAACTAGTGTGTTCGTGTTGGTGACTATTGCTCCCTATCAAAAGAAACACAACAAAACCACCCCCAAACCTGCCAGCACTCAGGGTGGCATTCTCTCCCTTCCCAGCTTTTGTTTATGGTCCTTTCACTTTTTGACTTCCCCCCTTGCATAACACTATCACTTTGGTTACACAACACTGCAGACAATGTTCTGGGGGATTTTTGATTAGGGAGAGGATTGCTTTGTCTTCTAGTGGATTTTTTGTTTGTGATCTTTTTGTTTCCAATGACAATAAAACTCCACTTGCATGGGCCTTTGTAAGGCTCCTCTGTACCAGCTTTCACTCCTTGTAAATTGAGTCATCCTTCCTCATCCCAAACACCTGAAATTTTCTTGATAGTAATGAGATTTCTGGAGACTAGGGTAAGATTCTTATATTTCTTATTTCCTTTTGCTTTGAAATTCAAGGGCCTACAAAGAACACTTCAAATTAATATGGCTATTTCCAGTTCACTCACAGAGTAACAGTGTTTCAGATAAGCCAACTTCCACTGTTTTTACCTTGTCTAGAAGGCATTCCAAAAGCAAAGACAAGATCCTGGCAACAGACAGCATCTGGTGAAACACCAGAAAATTAAGCTCAGCAAGAATGCTCAAAAATACTCTACTGCAATTTTCAATTTCGAGAGGCTTTAAGGCCTCTTAGAAACAACCTGCAGAACAGACAGCGCTACACAAGCAAGCTTGATCTGCCCTCAACACAACTGACGGAACCTGGTTTCCCACAGCTTTGTGCTGTTTGCCCTGTAATCCCTGGCTCCTCTTGGAAAGCCTTCCTGATAATCACAGGACAAAAATAAAGTGCTCTGGCAGACAGGCACTACTGCGGCACTGCCTCAGCCAAGTGCAGTGGGCAGGACTGACCCTGCCCGGCTTCTCCAAGCCTTGCCTGGTGGGAGGCATCCCCTGGGTGTGCTTTAACTACCGCTCCCACTTTTCGTTAAACCTACTGGATCATAGTGATTTCTTAGAATAGAGAGAACAGCTCGGCAGCATAGTCTGCATTTCCTCACAGAACAGTTTGCAGCAACTACCACAAAAGAGATATTGGTCCCACCGGGCATGTCCTCGTTAGAAGTATCAAAGGAAAAGGAAAGAAATCCATATTTAACACACCTGGGGCTGGCCTTTAAAAAAAAAAAGTAGGCAGCTTTTGTTTTCAGTTCAAAAGCAGCCCAGTTACTCATGACATGTATTTAAGCATTTTAGTATTTTGTTCTATTAATAGATTGGAAGAAAAAGCATAAACCCAAACAGGATTATGCAGGGAGTCTCAACTTTCAGCAGCACTCACTGTGTAGACACAACTGTCCAGACAAAACCCCAAACTCCAGTTTTGTACACTCCAGAAGATATAAGCACAAATTCCTCCTCTTTGGCCAAAAACCAACACAACAAAACACACACGCACACACCCCCTAAAAAGGATCTCTCTTTGAACACCAAGAGAAACCCATTTAAGACAGACCACCCAGTTCCAGTCATAAAAAAAAATCAAAAAAAGGATGTACTTCAAGTGGAACTCATTAGAATTCATTCATGATAAAATCCGTGACTCGGGGTTGTTTTTCTCCCAGTTCATGACTGCTTCCAAACAGAGAATGGGGTGTACCTCCCAAGTTTACTACCACAGCATCAACTAATTCCCGTTAAGTCTATAGTACCATTTACAATGTAACATCTGAACTAATTTCAACATATGTTAAACACTTCTTGTATTACAACAGGTGCATCTGTAAGTAGGTTGTACATATGTCTCTAACAATATCTGCAGTACTTCCCAATCCATCATAAAGTCCATACCAACATTTCAGTTCTCCTTTTGAATTTCAGCCTTTGAGGAGAGGGCCATAAAACCCGGTCTTAAACAAAAGACACTCAACTCTTAGACATTAATTAAGATGATTGGAATTTATACTCCCCAGAACATTTCCCAGGATTTCATACCATGGACTAATAAGGCAGGAGAGTCCTAAGGCACATAGACTGCTTTCTGAGGTAGTACATCTACCAGGCTTTATCTGGTTTAATTTTTACTATTTCCTTTTTATTAAAGCAAGCAGAAAAAGGAAGTATTTGCCTTTTGACAAAAAGCACACTTTAATAATTTGGATTTCTTTTTTAATTGGCTCCCATTGGAAATTGCAAATCCCCATTTTTAATTTGCTTCCCATTGGTGAGGGCTGTGGAATACCTCAGTCATTGCTACTTTTTTTTTTCTGTGAGACACTTCAGAATTTTGCAAGCAGGGAGCTTGCAAAAAAGCGCATGGAAAGGCTTGCTCAAGATCACACAAGAAATCTCAAGGCAGGCTGCGGGACACACCTGGATCTGAGCTGCTCCCTAGAGCTTTCCTAACTACTTTATATCAAGTATCCAGCTCTGTAAGCGGTCTGCAGTCTGGGAAGTCTCGGCCAGGGTTACTCCGAGGCAAAGGAATCTCCGTCGGTCGGTTCAGGTTGATTGTCAGAGAGAAGTTTTGATCCAGGATTTAAATCCCGGGTGCGACACTCGTGGCGGGCGTGGGTAGCCCCGCCCCCTCCCGCGCGGGCCCCGCCCCCGCCTCAGCGCCACCGGCTCCGCCCCGCCGCGCGCACGGACCGTTACCACCCCGCCCCCACTCCGCGCATGCGCACCCGCCACTCCCGCCGCGGGAACCAACCGCCGCCCGGCCTCGCCGTGCCTCCACCGCCTCGCCGCGCCTCGCCGCGCCCCGCAGCCCGCCCGGCTGTGCCCCGCGGAGCCCCGCGCTTGCCTCTGCACCCGGCAGGTTCTCCGCAGCGGCGCCGCCACCGCCGCCTCCAGCTCGCGCGGCCCGGCACCCGGCGCGGCTCGCACTGCCGATGTTGAAGAGTCCGCGCCCAGCAAAAGCGCAGCGCGGCGGGGCGGGGTGTCCCTCGCTCCTCAGGGGGAGGAGCGCGGCCAATCCGGCGCGCCGGGGGGCGGGGCCTCCCGCCATTGGCGGGTCCCGCCTGACGCGCAGATGGCGCTCCCCCGCCCTCCCTCCCGCCCGCGCCGGGGCTGTGAGGGAGCTGAGGGGATAGCGCTGTGCCCGCTGCGGGAGGCGCAACTGTAACCTCTAACATGTGAAAATAACTAAAAAAACCCCATAAACACACGAAACTTCCTAAATATTTCCGAGTTATTATGCCAATAAAAGAAAAACACGTTCACCGGCATTATGTTCCCTCCCTCCGAACTCCCCTCAGCACCCTGAGGTGAACACGGGCAGGGAGCAAGCAGCCCGGTTCCCCCTCGGGCTTTGAAGTAACGCAGACAAGCATGAGATTGCATAGAAATGCTTTATTACGTTTATTTGAACAAACTAATTAAAATAAGGCATTCCGGGTTAGATGTAAACATAAGGGTCAGCTGCACAGCGGGCAGCTGCTGTGCAGTGAGCAGGTGTATAGCAACAATACCGAAAGTTTCAAGTTCTACTTCTCAAGGGGAAATACAAATTCAAAGTTACATTAACATTTAATTTTGTTTATTAGTTAAGAATATGACTCCTCTGGAAATATGATTCTGAAAACTGAGGGCTGGATTCAAAACTCTTGAAACACAGAGTACTCCGTGTTGTCCAAAAACATTTGAAGTTCATTAGATATTAGATATCCTGCATATGAGCACATTGGTGTTACTAGCTGTTCTTTTTTTTAAGTGTCACTTCATTTAAAGAATATGATACATCAAATTTATTTACCTTACATTCTGATGCCTGATTTTATGCCATATATTAATATATAAAAGGATTCTCTGAGACTCTCCAAAGTAGTAAGCATCTGCCCTACTTGTCACTGACAATGTCTCTAGCAATAAGTTCTTTCATTATTTCGTTGGTACCACCATAGATTGGCTGAACACGGGCATCCACAAAAGCTCTGTGGGGGGGGGAACAACAAAACAAAGCAAGGAAAGATTAAAAACACCTCCTTGGAATGGACATACAATCAAAAGAAAAACAGTTGTTTTATCTTTGAAGATCCCTCTTTTTAAACGCAATTCCTGTTGTTAAAGAGGTTCATATTTTCCTAGAGGCTTTAACTGCCTAAAATATTATAACTTTGCAAAGTGCTGTGAACCAAACCAGGAATCTCCTAATTCTGCTTCACTATAGAGAGAACAGCTGAGGAGCAATGAGGCATTCCCTGGAAACATGCATGTTGCTGGACCATGCTGATAATAAAACCCTGTATGGGCAACTACTGCACACACAGATAAGCAAGGATTTGAGGACACCCTGATCAAGACTTGCTGGCCTTCCTTTCGTAAGATAGGCTGCAGAACACTCACAAACTACATTCACTGAAAACACCCAGAAACAAGTTATTTTAAAGCAATATTTTATACTCTTTAATGAATTTAAAAAAAAATCCAAACCTACTAATTAAAAAGAATAGTTTATCTATTTATGACAACTGCACAGCAGTCCTTGTTTTGATACTTCTACCCCCTTTGTTGTTTTGGGGTTTTTTTGGTTGGTTTGGTTTTTTTCTAATAAAATCAGCATCAAAACCTCTTACTGTGGCAAATGGCACTAATGGTACACAACCTTCACAGATAATGCACAAGGAAACAGACAAAAACTTCCTGTCTCTAAATTCATAAAGTCAGCAAAAAAACGGGAATGGCAAATTCTTCTTTCTGCATAGAAATCTCTTAGCTTTTCATTTTAAAAGGTGTAAAAAAGCTGAGTGTAGCCCGGCACGCCCTTGATTCAGCAAGTTGATATCCCGTGGCATTATACAAGACTTAGACTGTATCAACATTTTCTTTTCTTCATACATATGCATTAATTTCAGATAAAATATAAAAACTAGCTCCTCTCATTTTTGTTTTTACGGTTTTGCTTCTCTCTTTTTTTCAATTAATGTTTTCCTCTAAAAAACCCACTCCTATTTTGTGAAAAAACAGGTAATTGCCGAACAGCTTAAGAGTTATCTGGAGAATCAAAACAAAGCCTTCTTGCAGACATCCGTACAGTAGATTGCCTTTCAAGAAACACGATGAGAAAAGGAACAGTAAATCACTACTAACACTAAACAACTGATACGGAGACATAAAGGAAGTGCCTCATTTGACTTTGCTGGTAATCTTTCATCATGCAAGTCTGAAATGTTACACTTACTTTGCAATTGGATACTCCCACATGTACCCCCATCCTCCATGCATTTGCACACACTGAGTAGCTATGCTGTTTTGGAGATCAGAACACCTTAAATGGACAAAAAGAAATTTGTTTTTAGAAGGATGTTATGCTGCGAAGCATTATGAGAGATATGTTAAGCCAAAACCATAACATGACTAGTAAGAAATAAATACTGTTCAATTTAATGTATTCTCTTTATCAAACAGCTTTCAGAGAAGGAAAGGTTTCAAATCATTCAGGCTTGTTTACCTTTTTCACAGGCCAAGAGATTCCTTTTGTGAAGCACACAGATACAGTCTCTCTTCTTACCAAACCCCTCAGCTTTGCCAGAAATTAAGAGCAAATCAGGCTTCCCCCCCACCCATTCCCACTAGCAACACACTAGGATGCTCTTTGAGCATAACCATCACCTGGGGATAACTACATTTCCTCATAAATTTTAGAATCTTCAATTCTAAAAAGTATTGTAATTCTTCTGGGATTTGATCCCTGTAAAATATGGACTTAACAGCAAAATAAATTTTAACTGCACTGGAAGCTCAAGCCAAAGTTACAAGACATGAAAAAAACCACTTTCTAAGCATACAGCTTTAAGAGTGGCAACAGAGGGAACAAAAATGACAACTCAAGTCAATTGCTTCTCATGGAAGAATGTAGGAGTCCTTTTCTCCAAACCACCCCTTCATTCAGTGAAATCCTTACAGTTTATTATACCAACTTTAAATCTGCAGCAGTGAGTTACTGCAACTGTCTTTCCTATATATTTTCCCAAATTAATTCAGGCATGTTACACAACCTCTCACCACAAAAAAAAACCCTCCAAACAACCCAGCAGACGGTTCTCCAGATGTAAGAAAAGAGATGCACAAACCACATTTTAAAATCCTTCAAAGCTTTAAGTCAAATCACTGACTATACCAAAGGTTTGAAGCAAAATTAACTGGACAGGGTCTCCTGACACACTAGGGAATAAAGCAATTTTATATTCAAGTATTTTCTAGACCATTTAAGAAATTTTATGGAAGGGAGCCACAGGGACTCCACTAGTGAAAGGGGAAATCCACAAAAAATCATGATGCTAAACAGTTTGGGAAAGTGAGGGAGTTTCAAATGCCTTGCTTTGGGCAATTCGTTGATGAAGTAAGTTTGCATATCTGAGCTGGCACTAGTTGTTTCCTCCTCCTCAAAACTGAATGCCTCTGCTTATGTGCTTGATACTTCTAGGTAATCAGTGCCAGGAATAACACTCTATCAAAATCCTTCCTTCTACTGTAAATATTCTCTCTGGATCCCCTTAGCATTCTCTGATCATTTCCTCTATACTTGGTTTTAAAAGCCTAAAACCTGTAAATCTGTGCATCTTCTATAAAATTGTTTGTTCGTTTGTGCGTTTTTCTCCCCTCTTGAGTTTGCAAGCAAACTCAAACTATCCAAATTCATGTGCCACTATCTTAGATGTTTCCACTTGTCCAGATTTCTCTGGTTAAACCTAAGTGAACAGATAACACCACCAAGTACAGGATGAGGGAGGAGCAGTTCTGAACAACAAAGGAAAGCACTGTTTAGTCTCAGTTACAGCGACAGCCGTAGCCAACTATTTCTTCCCAAAACCAGACAGCTTTGGAAACTGGCTGCACCAAAGAGCTATTGCTAAGTAACATTGACTAAAAAGTATCATAGAGCTTCAAATATATTCCAGTTTTGCTTTTTTTTTTTTTTTTTAAAAAAAAGGCCAAACAAGCCTCATGCCCCATTAAAAACAAAACAAACAAAAAAACCCCACCAAAAAACTGCTGAACCCAACAAACATCGAACAACAATTTGCTACAGTAAAATGTAAACTTTGTCTAAATACCAATGGAGAACTCACACATACTTGAAGCTAAAGCTGAATCCTGACCTTGTTATTAATAGAAGCCTATTTCAAAAGCATGTCTTTATTTTGAAATTGATCTGTTTAACCAACACTGGTTTTCAACGTAACTAACATTTTTGCTGAGCACATGAGTAAAGTGAAAGCTAGTGGTCTCTATTAGAAGCTGACAGTGTTGCTTTAATCAGGCAGTAATTTTATCTTTTCATTAGATCTTAACAGCTCAGTGTTTTTATCACTAGACTCCTGGCAAGATCATGCAAGTAACACTTCCAAAGGACTGTAACTACATACCAATACTTTGCCATAGAAGCTGTGGCAGAGTCCAGGCGTTTATCCGCGTGGAGCTGCAAACAGTTGTCCATAAAGGCTCGGGCCACACAAATTTGCGTTTTTATCTCTGCCAACTTGTGCTGTATCGTCTAGTTTTGGAATTGGATAGAAGGGGCAGAGGAAAGAGAGCAGAAGTAGTACAGTTTAACACTTTAAGTAGAAAATGAAGCATTTTCTAGAAGTATTTCTGTTAGAAATCACTATTTCAAACAACTTTGGCTCTGTACACCAGAAGATACCTCACTGTCCGTACAATTATGTCTTCACCAGTCTTATTAGAGAAAATTACTGCCCTTTACTTCTCAAGGTCAACTCAAAACATGCATTCAAGAGAAAAAGCCATAGAGCCTGGCAAGCAAATTCCTAGGGAGCACAGAACAGGAGGCTCTGGGTGTTCCCTCTTGTGGGGGAATGTCTTTTCACTCTGTAGAGCCACGGATTTCCCCAATTAACAACAACATTTCACCATCTATTTAATGCTTTCCTAAGCGTTCTTCAGAATTTCAGTCACATGCAAAGAGACATAAGCAAAAAATAAAAGAAATTTTAGACCAGCAGAAAGTTTTTCAGCACTGAGTTCTGTCACATTGGAAAAAGAGTT